TATACACACTTGAAAGTCAGTATTTGTGCATGTCCATGAATGAAGATCCATCTTCAATAATTTAAAGGCCTCTTCATGTAGTGCTCTGATCTCAAGGCCACATTCATAATACATTAAAGCAGAAACGTGTTCAGATGTCGTGGGTCGAGCGTAACACACACGCTCACAGGTGCTTTCACACACTCACAGGTTATCGACTTCAGTGGCAACATTTGTTATCACTGATGCTGATATGCTGATATTTGTGTTGCTATGAAACACAATGCAAAGTTATCTGTCAGCACAGGGCACAGTGATGAGAACCAACTTTATTGGAAATTAAACATTTCAGTGTACTGAGCATTTGCTGTGATTCTACTGTCACTCACCCAGTTTCAGCAGCCAGCCCTCTCTGTCTGGGTTGAAGAAAGTGTGTGTGAGGTCATTGCCGTCATCCTCTGGGATTTTGAAAGGCTCGTTCTTGATGCTATCGTACAGGTTCTACAGAGAGACAGAGTTGACCATAAATACAGAGCTGGTCTGAGGTTTGCGGACAGTGTAGGGCCACAGTGGAGAAATCACACACATTCTGAAAAGAGTGCAGCTCGGAAATTGGCTGAGCCCGTCCCGAAAATGTTTTCCCTGATTACAGGAATATACTTTGCAGCTTTAAAATAAAGTGCTCCGCCAATGTGACGGAACCTGACCTGAACCCAAACATCATTTCAAAATTTTTGTCCTAACCCAGCCTGATTCATCAGGACCCAAGGAGTCGGCTCAGGTCCACACTCACCCTGAGCAGGTCTTCAGGCAAGTCCCCTCCATCGTTGATTCCTCTGTTCATGGAGATGAATCTCTCCACAGTTGGCTTGTCCTTCACGTTGGGGTTGTGGAGGCTGGTGTTGAGCATGATGATGGCAAACGACAGGATGTAACAGGTGTCTGAAACACACACACACACACACACGCACCCACGCAAGATTTTACCAGATAGCAAAAGGTTGCTGTTTACCATAAAAATGCTTCCAGTGTTTTTAAACGTGCTGTTTAAATATAAATGGAAATTAGCTGAGCAGAAAAGACTGCACTTTGAGGGCTGCAGTAAAACAGAGAGAAACAGATTGGCGGAGCTTCATTAGCGAGGGGAGTGGGTTGGAGTGAAAGGCTGCATGTGGGCAGCTAAGTATGCATATGTATAAGTGCCTGTGTGTGTGTGCATGCTAAGAGACAATGTGGCCAGCACACAGCTGACACAGCAGCACTTTATCTGGCCCGTTAGGCTGTTGAGAAGTCCCATGCATTATTCACATCCATCTGCAATCACGTTATAGGCAGTCAGGCTGTCTGCTAGGGGCATTATTTCCCAAAAGCCAGACACTCTTCCATAACACAATTAGCCTCAGCAGACTTTGTGCCAGTTAAATAAAGAAACTCAAATACGACTTCTATAAACATTCCATTAGATCTCATGAAAATATGGAAAAAGACGACATGGAATGACAGAGAAGACAAATATTTATCCGTTTCTTAAGAAATTAAAAGTTAGAATTCTATTTAGTCAGGTTAGAAAGTAAATGTATTTATCAGTGTTGCTGACAAAAACATGTTGTGTTTTGTTCTAAAAAGGCAAAATACATCAAAGATTAGAAATTGAGGAGACATTAAAATTTTTGGTGGATGACAAGAGCCATAAATTTTGTCTTTTGTCCCTCGTTTCCCTGCTCACACGATTACAGCTCTACAGGACTGCGCTGAAAGGCACGGCAGCGCTACCTGTGGACTGGAAAACGCCAGAGTTGCACTGGCAGTAGCGCTGAGCGAAGGCCTCCATCATGCGGTCGATCTTCTGAGCCTCTCCCGGCAGTCGAAAACTCCACAGGAACTGTCTGTCAGGGGGACACGGCTCAGTCGTCAGCAAACACATTCACTTCCACTGTGAAAAAGGCTGAATTATTCTATTCGGGCAGAGATCATAACTTAATTTAAATAAGGTGACTTATTAAAAACTATGGAGCAAGCAGTGAGGACGTTGCAAAGCTATAGTGTGGAAACACGCTGTCTTACCTTAGGGCCTGAACCAGGTTGAGGTCTGTGAACTCATGAAGCTCCACAAAGGCATGGAGGACTTGGATATTGAAGTCATCTCTATGGGAGAGAAAACATTTTATCTTTGATGAAAAGTCCTATTCTGCACAGGCAAAATTAAATATAGGCACAAAATATATTAGGTCTAACTAACAATTATTTGTGTTGAGTATTTAGCAGATAAACAGTTTTGTCCATAAAATCAGAGGTTGAATCAAAGGTTTCCTATCACATCATGTAAACAAAATTCTCATAATGAAAATAAGGAGCCAGGAAAAGAAATATGCATTTGTGCTTGGAAAATAACGTAATAAATAAATAATAAATCAAATAATTGTCAAAACAGCAGGTTAAGATCATCGATAACCCAGATCTGTCAGAGGAAGTGAAATATGAATTTAATTTCATGGATGTTAAGATAAAACAGAGCTTATATTGTTGTGGTTGGCTTGAAAATATTCAGGAAACTCTTATCGCTGCATCATTTGAAACAAAGTAGGTCTCATCAGAAATGCGTTGGAGGATTTAGCTCAGGATGTGATCTGGCTCACATGGGCTTCAGATGTCAGTGATATGCTGCGTACTCCAATCAAACCCAATGGAGGAAGACAGGCCACCTTTCATTTATCATCTAATCTCAATCATGACATCATTCTCGACCTTCGCGCCCTTCAGAGTAAATGATCCGCCCTGTGGGATCATGGGACGGCTCTAAGGAGCTCTCGTTGACAGAGTCTTATCCAGTGCTATTACCAGTGGAAAAGTGACCAATCATAACAGAACCGTCCCTCGCTCATCAGGCTCCTCCCTAAAAAATAAATCAGACACCCTCTGAGTGTGTGACAACAACCAAACAGAGAGCGTCCATCAATAGCCTGCGCTCCATTTCTTGGTTATTCCTCCCAGACCACACCCTGACCGTAACACTGCCTGACCTCTAGTCCCAGAGCAGGGCGTACTGGCCATTTCCTGTATTATGTGTTTACTCTACAAGTCATGCTCTCGAGTGAGAACTTCAAATGCATTGCATTCCCAAATTGTGTTGTCACCAAAACTTAGGGATGAGTAAGATGATCAATGACAGATGGAGACCATTGAGCAACAGGCAGGACGGTCTAAATGTGGGACCAATAATCTGTGTTTGGGAAAAGAAGGGTGTGAACTTGACCAAGAGGAAGCGGAGCAATAGGGAAAATATGCGCTCGCCATTCTATGTGTTTATCAACCACGTGGATGGGAATGATAACGGTGGAGGTTAGACAGAGAAAGAAAAAAAAATCCAGACCTCTCTCCGAGGTAGTCGCCAATAGCTGTTTTGTTCAGGCCTTCTCCCTTGTAGAGGAATTGAGCGATGTCATCGCTGGTATTCTTCAGCAAGTCGTTCTCAATCAGGAACTGGATCCCCTGAGGAGGAGACAGGAGCCCCAGGTTACATCCTGCTCATGAGAACATGTGGGGAAAAAATAAAGTCTCTTCAGAATCCCGGCGGTTACTTCCTCCTACCTTTTTGGGGTCCATGTTGAATTTCTTACGGCCCATCGCCACCTGTTTGTTCCTCTGCATATTTTTCCTGAAAAATAAAAGTTTGGTGGTTAGTTTTTCCCTTTGTGAACCTAATGTTCCATATGTCAACAATTATTATTTATAATTGATTGATTAATAATGTCTTGATTAATTGATTAAGCATTTTGTTCAATATAATATTCGAAAACAAAACAGTATGTAGTGACTGTATATTAAATTTTGTTAAATCAAATCATTTGAGAAGCTAAAACCAGTGATTAACTCTTATATTGCATTCAAATTCAACAAACTGATCAGCTGTCATGCCCATCCACCATGTTGACAAAGCCTTGATAAAGCGTTTAACATCATGCATATGGGAAAGTCTCATTTCTCAGGCTTAGAGTTATTCAGGGGTCAAAGTGCGCCCGAGGAGTCCGCCGTCACTATGGCGACATCTCCATCCCCAGCCGGTGAGAGGTCACAATTTCTTCCCACTGACTCACAGCAGCATTCCTTTGGCTTTTGTCGGCCGAAGTCCGACACTCAGCTGAACAGACGCAGACAGACTTTCACCCACCGTCTTGAAGTGAATCATCAGAAACTTTGATCACTGGAAGGTGCTGTAACCTTTAATGGGTTTTAGATCCAAGTGCTTTAGGAATATTCGGTAGCTGATGGGATCCCTATACACTTGAGTAGACCGAACACGCGCGCTCCCTCCCCTGAGACCGTCCATTGTCTGCCTCTGCCCGTACACCCACTGCATTATTCAATGAGGCCTCCCATCATGGGGGTGTGCCTGATGAAACATTTAAACTGCCTTAAAAGCATAGCCAATTTGGGGAGGGGTTTTTGGTGCGATGGGATGGCCCGACTTGGCCATCAAACATGAATAATTGACAGCTTCATTTGCTAAGTTAATAGAAGGCAAACAAGAAGCTGATTTAGGCCAAACAGAGATGGAAATGTGTGTGTAGGGGTGAGGAGGATCAGGTCCGGTTCTCTTACCTCTCCTCAGTGGAACCCAGGTTCTCGATCTCACTTGTCACTTCTGCTATCTCATCCTTCAGCCGCTGCAGAAAAAAAAGCAGGAAGATTTATGAGTAATGGTGAGTTGAAGAATTCATTCATCACACGTCCACTGAGGTGTTTCACCTCACCCCTTTCGTTGTGAAGTATGAACTCACGAGGACTGCATATAAGTCATATCAGAGAGTATGTGTTTGTGTGCGTCTGCCTCCCATTCTGAATTAGATTAGGGGAAGAACATTTGGGGATAACCTCAATACAAATGGAGTAAGAAAGCATAAAAGTGGATTATAGTTTGTGTGGCTTTTTGTAATTAATGGCCTTAGAGGCAGATTTAGTCGATCAGGCCTGCTGGTGCCAGACTGGCACAGAAAGACCGATGCAGAGGCTGATAGGGATGGAGAGGGTGATGTCAGGTTGATGAAAGTCCGGAATAGTAGAGTGTAGCATAAGAGAGGTGCTGTACACAGTCAGAGCTTTTGTTGCTATTGATCATAAGACACTACAACGCTCCAAGTAAAGGTTACAATTATCAACGCTCTCCATTCATATCCAGCCACAGTGTTAGTTTATTATTTCTCATGCATAATACCAACTGACTTTATGCCAGACCACAAAGGGAACATCTGTGTTTTCTGCGCAATCACAACACATTCCTAAGATGCTTGTCTCCGCAAACAAAGGCCATGCTCATACAGGAAAGTGGGTGGTGGTTGTGGTGGTGGAGGGGAAGTTTCTGGCATGCTGACCCTGGGTGTGGGAGTCAGGGAGGAGGAGAGGGGTCAGTGTGCAGACCATGGAGAAGGAGGGGAGGAGGAGAGAATGGGGGCAGTGGTGGTGGCCAGAAAAGAAAGGGGAAGGGCTCATAAAAGAGAGAGTGTCGGATCACACCTCTAATATTTGTCTGTCAGGGCCAGCGGAAGTTGAGACACCAGCTGGGACATCTGGAGTCCGACTCTCCTGCCAGGCCAGTCATGGAGCTAGTTACTGACTGATAGAACTGACCTGACCTGAGCTAGAGTACTCAACTGTGGCTTCTCTTGGGTTAGGGCAACAGCCCAAAAAAAAAATGTGGACAGGAATCAAACAAACCACTTAAGGGAAATTCAGCTGAGCTGATTTGAATCCTGGCTCTTTCTGAGAATCAGAGATCATATGAGATTATTCTACCGGCTGCATGAGCACAATCCTCATTAGAGCATAAGGCTGTTTTATCTGCATGCAGAATAATTTTCTGATATATTTTAAAAAGCACATTATATTCAAAATGACATTTCAATGAAAACACCCCAAAAAGACAAGTTGCACCCATAAAAAGAGGAGGGTGAGCCCTTGGTAGGAAATACCTCACATTCCACTTGGGGTGAAATGTGTGAAGGACTCCAAGGAAAAGAGGAATAAGAGCAAAGGCAGTGAAATCTGGCTATGAGGTAAATGTTTAATCACAAAGCAGAGGAGGACACTCAGAGATTCAGACCCTCTCACTCATGGAGTTATTAAATCTCCTATTTATGTGTTTTAAGACACAAAAAGTCCCCATATCAATGTCCAGTATTACCTGAATGTCCTCCAGCAGCTCCTGTTTGCGTCGCCGGATATTCTCCAGCTCCTGCTGCTCCTCAGGGGTGAGGTCGTCTGGCACTGTGGAGACACGAGATAAGAAGGGTTAAAACAAAGGATCCCAACATTTATGAAACCTTTATCCTTTTCTATGTATATAAATTTGTCCCATGAGGCATATCTCTGGTATCACAGTGGATGCAAATAACATTGTGAGAGGTGATAAGAGGTGTGGAACCACAATGACAAGTCCTGAAATATGTTTTTCAGGAGAAGGTGATACGTGGTCAGAGCAGAAAAGAGGAGTGAAGGTTCCATGATTTAGTTTTATTTGACTCATTAGATGAGCCTCTAACAATCCGTAAGAATACTAAAAGTGTGCTAAGCTCCTACGTCCCAAGTCTGCAGCAGCACAGTGCACTTTAAACAGGATTTAACTTTGACTAAATGAAATTCCTCAGGTCAGCGAGGCAGCGCAGAGCATCAGTGCCAGAGTAGCACAACTGTGGCAGGTCTCACAGCTCTGTCACTCACTGTGCGTGGCTATAATTAGCTTTGTCTGTTTCAAGGACTGAGGGCCGAGCAATGTGTCCCGATTGATGGAACTGAGAAGCACCACTAGTATCAGCACTCTGATCATAACAGCAGCACAAGCACAATCTCAGTTTAATTTACATTAGCACTGCACCGCACGCATTTCCTCGTTTTTTTTTTTCCAGTCGCCATTGAAATACCAAGTGATTCTTGCATCAGATTCTTTATTTGTTGCTTGCTTGCATGTGATCTGTTTATTGTCAGTCAATATGGATTTAATCTAGTAACTGGATGGAACAAACTTTGATGTGTGCATGTTCTCACTTGCCGAAGAAATGCATGACATGCAACCTTACACAACGTACAACAACAATAACCTAATTTAATGACTCCAGACTCGCAGAAACAATAGAGCTCAGTAACAATTCAAGACATAAAGTTATAATTAACTACACATGATGAAATTACAGTAAAAATGCAAATATACACAAACTTTGTTGTTTTTAGTAATGAGCTTAACTTCAGTGGCGTTAAATGAAAATCTGTAATCTCTGAGGTGAGATACACTAACCATTTAGCTGCTCGGCTGCAAAACAACTTTTGCGGTTTCACAACACTATATCTATTTGCACGTGTAAGCCGAATGGCAGTTGAACCCCCTGAACCCACCCCAGTGTCACAGCGGTTGTTCTCTGTTAGAAGATCATATCTGTCACTCAGGGGCTCTTGCTCTGATTCCCCCAGTGGCCAAGCACAAGGTTCCTCCTGTGACCTCTCCTCCTCCCCTCATTACCTCAGGAGCAGGGTTCAAAGGTTGAAGGGGTCTCGGGCCGACTCTGTGAATGTCTGCAAACGGTTAACTAGGTGATGGTTACATAGTGACGGAGGCTGAGGACACAAGGTCTTATTTAACTCTTTCCACTACTTTCCATGATTCCACCAGTGACCCAAAAAAACAAAGCTCCTTCTTCCTCCAACTTTTTTTAAAACATTAATTCAACATTAGTCCCACACAATCCTAATAAAACCGCAGAGGTAGAATTCACTAGATGTGAGTGGCAAAGTGACAAACATGCAGTTAAGGTTACAAAAGCTCAACAAAAGAAATCTGGCACAGCAATCAATAAAAGCAAGGACCAGCCATCCAGAAATGATGAGCTTCATAGGGCTTTGAGAAACATATACAAACACACCATCATCAGCTAATTTCAAATTTCCTGCACAGAAGCTTTAATCCAAATATAGGACATTTAGTCTATCCAGCATATTTTATCCTCTTATTTTAATAACGGCAGGCATGCAAACCTAAACATCTCGAGGCAAATACCCATGACATTGACTGGTATGTCTGCTAGTAGACAATGGAAGCTCAAAACAGGAGCCTTATGTCAGGAGTCTCCAAAACAAAGCAATGCTGTCTTCCAGTATTGTTTTCAGGCAGCTGGGGTGGTACTCCATTCCTGGTTGACCTTTCACACACCATGCCTCACAGCCTACAGTATTCTCAGCTAACCAGCCTCATCCATCCCAAATGTTCTGGGTTTCCATGGAAACCACACGGTGAGTTACGGCAGCGATAGAAACGAAAATAAATTGTTTGCACTTGGTCAAACAGGTCCCTCGAGAGCTTCTTGTATCAGCGAAGACGTGAATGTTTAAGATACGGGGGAGCACAAAGAGGCACAAGTGCACAAACGCAAAAGCCTTGATACACGTGGGTGTTCTTGATTGTATTGCCGGCTGCACACGAGAGGATAACTGGTCCAATTTCGTGTCACCGTTATTATCTGACCAAATGATCCTGTAGTGTGAGGAGGTCACAGACATAACCTAATGTCAACAACTTAATCTGAGCCTCCATGATTTTGATTTTGAAGACATTTTTTATTCCAAATCCGGGAGAGTATAGTATGAATTTAACAGTTATAGGGCGAACAGGAACATGTGCGTGTGTTTAGAAGCAAAACATGTCTGCCTACAGCGTAAATAAGACAGTCGTTTCCCTGTAGGAAAGGTCGACAAACAGGAATAATGGCAACAGTCAAAGTGTGAAGTAAAAGTATGTGTTTAAACTGTGCGTATCCCTGCGTCTTGACCGAATCGTCAATGCTTCTCACGATAAAAAATCAGTTCCACGTGTTGCTATGTCTGTGGTCGCCAACGTTTTTAAAATCAATAGATTTGAAAATCCTCTCGTGCACAGCAGACGTTATAGATTTACTCCCGATCGACTGGACCAGTTAATGTCAATTTGAGCAAACCCAGACCTGGGCCTTGTGTTCCGACGCACAAATAAGAATGAGGGATAGGACGGGATCAAAGCAGGAAGTACATTCCTCTTTCTGAAAGCGTGAGGTCAGGTTGGTTGGCTGGCAGACGCTAAAAGAAGCCACGCCACACAGTACAGCACGGCGTGATCTAACAACTGCCACCACAACGTTCTTGGCGTAGAGGAGCACCACAAAGTGAAGGAGAAGAGCGACAGAAAGGACTATAATTTGACACAGAAGAGGAGACAGAAAGAAACTGAGCAAAGGAACATGATCATTTGAGGATGGAAACTGTCTGTCTCCCCTCTTGTAGGACAGGAGCGCACAAACAAGGAGCTTTTAGAGAATCAGTATCTTACCCCATCAGCAGGGCAGATGTATGACACTCTGAGCCTGCGATTAAAGGGCAGGTTTGCTACTCAACGGGCCACACTACCACTTCACATGTCATCTGACATCACCCACGCACTTATTCAAAGAGCCAATCAGGTGCACCCGTCACTGCCTTCCTGACTTCACCCAGAATTTTCAAGACCACATCAGGGAAGGGAAAGGCCCCACCCACGCTTGTGCCAGACGGGGGAACGGAGTGGGTGTCATTTTCCAGGACACAGCAGATGAGAGGGGGTGAGGGACCCATCCATTTCAGTAAGCGCTGAGAGCAGCTTGTTTCTCTTCTGTCTCTTGGAGGTTTTTCAGCAAACCAATGCACTGGCACGGCCAATGAAAAGAGGCAGTCATCAGAAAAAAGACAGGAAGTGAGAAAGACAGTAGGCAGAGAAAGTAAATGCGGTAAAGATAAAATGATGACAGAGAACAACTGTTTCTGTGAAGATACACTTTCTGATTTGTCTCATAAAATTCACGTCTTGTTGACGCAGTGAAATTAATAAAAAGTTTGATATGACGCGAGAGGAAATTTGGTGTTTTCTGCTTCTTATTCACGAGATGCGATTCTCCTCTTCTGCCTCATCTATATCTGACTTCAGGAGCCTCTAAGAAGCAGGGGGCCCCTACAGCGATGTCTGAGGCGAGCCTGGAAGTGGTGATTTCCACAGAGCCGCCCTCATCTTCACTCCTTCAGGCACTCATGCTGTCTGGAAAACAGGTCATTCAAGGGGAATATGCACATGGGGGGGTATGCATGCAATGAGTGCAGCCATATTCAAGTCAGATAAATACCATGTGAACACACGTATGTGTGAAGCCACATCCGCAAAGGTGATGTTCCTTTTGTTTTGTTGTATGAGAGGCTCAGTGCAGAGGTCCACATACTCCTTGATTTGTTGCGCGAAATAAGTTGCTAAAACCAATGTGGGGCAAATTGATTGAAAACGTTCAGATCAGATTCAGATCATGACAGTATGTCCACCGTAAATCCAGGACAGTATAATCTGAGATTTGTCCTGACACAGCCTGGCCCTCATTACTCTCGAGTGCTTTTTAGCCTAAATTTATCACTCACTACATCCCATTTTAAGGAAGATCCCGTTCAGATCACGTTCAGAGCACATGCATCCAGATCCCCTTCACCTCGCCACAATCCTTCACTTGAGCTGCCAAATCTTGTTTAATTAATATTTTTGACCACCTCATCTTTTGTTTCTAAGAGTGTCTGCAGAGTTCACAAATGGGCAAAGCAGTTTTTAAGCGAGGGATGGGTCAGCAGAGCGAGCTGGGGAGGTGACATCAAGGGAGATACCAATTATAGCTCCCTGTCCCACAGCGTCGGAGCCCACTAATACGCACCGTGATTACCATCCTGGCATTAGAGGCAGATGTCTCATTTCCACCCAGATCACTCAAGAACTCTCCTTGGAAAATAAGGAAATTAGAAGTCTGAGTGCTCGCAGGGATGTTTCACCCTCCTTCTCCTCCTCCTCCCTGCAAATGTGACCCAATTTAGGGAGCCAAAAAAAAAATCTAATGTATTAACTACATAAGCTCTGCATCTATATCCGTGGATGTTTTACACCATAATGTGGAATCTCAGAGCTCCACAGCAGATGGAGATGTTGCTGAATGTATTTCCCTGCCTATGGTCTGCTGCCTGTCATACAAATCAATTCCTGTAGCCACGTGAGTCTGATCCTGTACGTGATCACATTTTGATGTAGTGCACAAACTGATTGGAGATGGATGAATGACCCTGGTAGCAGCGATCGCTCCCTGCACATGGTTCTTCTTCTGTTCTTGTCTACAGCTTATTGCCTCCATATCCAAACAACATCCATTTGGTCCTCACATTAGACTAAATCATTCTCCTCCTGCTGGTCCTCCATCATCTCCCCTGCTCTCTCCGTCCTATCTCATCTCTAAAATGCAACCAGGAGCATCAGTTTTCTCCACCTTCTCCCATCCCCCATGCACCTTGGGGCTCTTGTTGTTGCTGTACAGCCTTTTGTCTTTATAGTATCATGGACAGTTCCCTTTTAACTTGTTAAAAGGGCGACCTCCCAACCCAAGGTCCCAATCAATCGCCCTCGAGCCTAAATCAATACGAGCGCCAGATGTGAAAAAGAAGCAGCCTCTACTTCATGATGAGGTTTAATATATCTTGCACAGAACACACACACACATGGGCTGGACAAACACACATGATCTCTCACACACACACACACACACACACACACACACACACACACACACA